GTTCTTAGGACAACATGCCCGGGGAAGGAGGATGGGGGGGGGGCAGTGGGAGAGTGACCCTGGCCCTGTGGGTCTCTCGCAGAGCAGACCACAATGCCTATGGGTCAGGCCCTGTGCAAACAAGGAAGAGCCTCCCCTTGCCATGTGGGGATGGAGGGGACTTCCTCCCCCCATGTCTTGGCATCATACTGCTTCAGGCGTGGAGCAGGGATGACAGTCCCGTGGTGGGGAGTAGGGTTGTGGGAGTCCCACTCAGCACAGCCATGGTCTCAGGAATAAGTATGGTTGAGAGACAGGGAAAGACTAGTGAGTCTATTGTTCCTCTTCTCACAAGACACCAGCTGCTTGAAGATGCCCGCAGGAAAGGAATGCCCTTTGCCCAGTGGGATGGCCCTACTGTGGTCTCCTGGCTGGAGGTAAGTCTGGGCAAAGGAAGTCTACTCAGAGGACCGGTGGGAAGGGTACGTGGGGTGGGACAAGGATTCCTCTGTAGGTAGAGGGGTGGTGTCCCTAGAATTTTCCCATCCCGTCTCTCCCCTGCCAAGTGCACATATGCCACACCTAGAATTTAGCCCCGCTCCCTTCCAGTTACCTTGGAGGGCAGAACTGATGCCATTTACTGCTGTTGCCTCGCAGGTAGGTGGGTTTGGACAAGGGGCGCTAAGGGTCACCGAGCCATAGGCTTCCACAGGCAATTTGACTCTTCCCATAGGCCGTCCCCAGGAGCTAATCACCCATACGATGTTGGGAAAATCTCCTCACATTCTCAGGCCTCAGATTTTCCATCTGTAAAATGGGGAAGAGAAGCATTTGGGGATGGTCATCTCCACGTTTCTAAGTTCTTCTGCTCTGCGTTTGCTCCTTTGAGTCCGCGGAGGAGGCCTGGCCCTACCCCCTTGGTATGGTCAAGCTCGTGGCAGCAGGGCCCAGATCTTGGGGGAAGGAGCTGAATTTACCCCCTGTGCCCGTATCTGCAGCTCTGGGTGGGGATGCCTGCTTGGTACGTGGCCGCCTGCCGGGCCAACGTCAAGAGCGGTGCCATCATGTCGGCCCTGTCGGACACAGAGATCCAACGGGAGATTGGCATCAGCAATGCCCTGCACCGGCTCAAGCTCCGGCTGGCCATCCAGGAGATGGTGTCGCTGACCAGCCCCTCCGCCCCGCCCACCTCCAGGACTGTGAGTGGCCTCTCCCTCACCCAGGATGTTTTTGGACAGCCCTGGAGTAGTATTTGGAAAGTTTCCCGTTGGTCTTTGGGAAGCTAGTAACTTGATTCCTGCCCCTTCCGGTCCCCTCGGGGCTCCACCTGGTCTCCAGGAGGGGCTGACGTTGATTCCAGGAGGATCCCAGCAGCCTGGTTCTCTGCCCTACTGTGCCAACAACCACACATCTCCGGGCAGAGTTTCCAGGACGGGGCTTCTGGGGTTCTGTGTTGTTGCCAGATTCAGGGAGGCAGAGGGGATAGGGCATTTGTGAATTCTTTCCTGGTCCTCCAACCTCTCCACAAGAACACAGACTATTCCATGGACCCTCAGGCTAATACTAGCTGTCTCTTCGATTGGCATCAGCCGGCTTTCCAGATCTGCCCCATTCATTCATATTCCTTCAGGAAACATCCATTGAGCATTTCTTGGTCCCAGACACTGTGTTGAGCAGTGCGGATACAGTCATAGAGGGAGTTGCTCTGAGCCAGACAGTATGCAGGACTCGGGGCTGGGCCTGTGGGAGGACTCAGGGGAAGGGATGTATGTCATTGCCCTTGGGGTTCCCGGCCTCAAGGGGATTTCGGGGACCCACACGTGGGACCAGATAGGTTTCCTCTCTGCCTGCAGTCTTCCGGAAATGTCTGGGTCACCCATGAAGAGATGGAAACTCTGGCAACACCCACTAAAACAGTGAGTCTGGCCCTGGGCCCTGGGCCTGGGCTGAGGGCTGATGACCCCCATGAGGATGAGGGGAAGGTTTGGGGAGTCAGAGGGGGTTGCGGTCAATCTAATACGAGATTGGTATCCCTGATGTATGTCGAGTTCTGTTCTCAGGGTGGCGGGTTGGGAGAAAGAGGTGGGAATGGGAAGAGTTGGCATGTGTGGGGGGATCCATCTCTGGGGGGGTCTCCAAGGCCAGTGGGGAAGAGCTGGCCATGGGAGCGGTCTGCCCTGCTGTGGGCCTGAAGCCGGAGTCCTTTCCCTTGTGCTGATCCTTGGTGGAGGGACGGGGAGTGGGAGAGCCTGGCCCCTTGCGGGGCTGCGAGCCAAGCTGGGGAGGTGTGGAAACGTGTTTTTGCCACACACACATTCGCTCCGCCCTCACTGCAAACACAGGCACACGTGCCAGCCTTGTGTTCTCGCTTGGTCCTCCCAACAAGCTCTCCCTAGTCACCCTCCTAGCCACTGGTGCGTCTGCTCCCTCTTCTCGATGGGGCCTGGGGTGGACGCTTCCAGGTTTCTTGACTTTGCCTGTTTCCCCTGACACGCTGCACATCGTTCCCGCTAGGACAGTGAGGAGGGCAGCTGGGCTCAGGTAAGACCCCCTCCCCTGTCCAGAGCCACCTCCCAGGAGTTCAGGACAGATTTTTTCCCAACAGGCTGTCTGCCCGACAGGACGCCCTGAGTCCCAGTCTATTTATGTCCCTCTTCGCATGAAAAGCCCTGGACAGGTTTTCTCCTGCCGCTAAAGCACCCTCCCTCCTCATTGCCCTCTAGCTTCTGGTTTCTCAGGATGGCAGGTGGGGAGCCTTGGAGGCCCCCCTTTTCTTCACCAACCCTTTTCTTCACCCCATCCCTTTCCGAGGGCACAGCCGTGAGCTGGGCAAAGGCCTTTTACTCATTCACTCAGTGGGCAAATATTTATTGAGCAGCCGCTAGGTATCAGGGGCCTTTCTAAGCTCTCTGGATACAGAAGTGGACAAACTAAGCCCCACAGAACTTATATTCTAGGAGAGAGATAGACCCTAAGCGCGTAAACCCATCAGTGAGTACTGTGTCACACGGATCCACGTGCCATGAAACAGCACAGGGAAAGCCAGAAACCAGGGCCTGGACAGATCGTCGTGTACATTCACCCAGTAAAACAGCAGGGGAGATGGATGAATTTTACAAATACAACGTCAAGTGAAAAGTCTAAGTCCCAAAAGAGTCATAGAATTTTATACTAAAACTCAAAAACAAGCAAACTTAATAATACGTTTGTTAGAGAAATATGCATTGGTGATTATAAGGACTGTAAAAAATGTTTTTCAAGCAAGGGAATGATAGAAAACTCTAGACGGGCAGTTACCCCTAGACGGGCGGCAGGGGACAGGACGGGGAAGGAGAGCGTAAGGTGGACACAACCGGGTGGTGTTGTCCATCAATGTTAACTTCATTTATTTATGCTTAACGGCGAACGTTTGCTACATTTATTTTTGTGTGTATAACGGTTTCATTTTCAAAGATAAGTTTTTCAGCCTAAAAAAATCAAGTAGGGTTAGGAAACCATGATGGAGGATTGCTGTTCACCCAGTCTTTCTAAGGATAGGTGGTCAGGGAAGTCCCTGCTGTCGGCGGGAGGTGACAACCAGAGCAGGTGGGGAGGGTCAGGGGGGCGTGGAGGGTGCTTGGGAAACAGGAGTTCTGGAGAATTCCTGGAGTGGACACCAGGCCTCAGAGAACTGAGTGCTGGCTGTTCAGACGCTATTCATCAGCCTGTAGCTTTTGACGTCGCGAGTCAGTATGTAACTCCCCTGTAGATGCGTGAGCCGGTTTCCCAAGTGACATTGGCTCTTTTCTTGCTGTTCTGCGGGTCCTCTGTAACTTGGCCTGTCCCCTGGGCGCAGTGGGCTTGAGGCTGACCGAGCAGCAGGAAGGCAGGTCTGCCACACAATACCGCAAATGCATTCCTGGGTCGACAGGAAGGACTTCGTATTATCTGCTGCCTGGATAGTTGCTTCTGTTCATTAGTGTAGATAAGTGATCCACGAAGGGAACCGTATCATTCTGAGATCTTACGAAGTTCCATTTAAACCCCCCACCTCCTACCACGCCCAGCTTCTTAGCGAAAATAACCCACCGTGGAGGATGGAGTGACGTTCCTCTCGAGCAGATACGCCAGCCGCGGTTCGCTAGCACTGCCTTCCTCCCCTATAGCTCCTCTACCTTGTTCCCCCAGACCCTGGCCTATGGGGACATGAACCACGAGTGGATTGGGAACGAATGGCTCCCCAGCCTGGGGCTCCCCCAGTACCGCAGCTACTTCATGGAGTGCCTGGTGGATGCTCGCATGCTGGACCACCTCACCAAGAAGGACCTGCGGGTCCACCTGAAGATGGTGGACAGCTTCCACCGGTGAGCAAGGCTGGAGCCCCGCACGGGTCTCCGCCAGCCCCGGGGGTCTGTCTCCCGCAACGCACGTGCCTCCAAGCGGCCTGTCCGGGCGCCCGCAGGTCTCCCCCTTGCGAAAGCCGGGTCCTTGTCTCGTCCTGCAGCTTGAGGGAGGGTTCTGCCCTCTCACCTCCCGCCCTTAAGACACAGAAAGTCATTTTTCCCTCGCTTCACTTTCCGGGAGATTTCCCCTCTGAGGTCTGAATTTCATTTCTTCCGGCTTGCCGAGTTCTCTCTGTTTACCCTGGGGAGGCTCCAGCCGAAACCAGTGTCCAGCTTGGGTGTCTAAGAGGAAGGGTCTTTCTGAGCCCTTGTCCTTCCTGCCTCCCAGGTCTGAGCTTCTCAGCTCAGCCCACGCCCTTTTGTACAGGATGCCATCCAGTTCTCTCCTCCTCCTCGCGGACAAGGTCTTCTGTTCAAAAGTGTCTGCGGTGGAGGTCTCCAACTGGCAGCCCGTGGGCAGCATTTGGCCCACAGATGTGTTTTGTTTGGCTGACACGGTATTTTAAAGATTATGAGTTTAGTTGCCAGTATTCAAACACTGGGAGATTTTACACAAAATTCTGGATGTCTGGCTTCTCTTAAAAAAAAAATTGGAAGACGTGTTGACACATTCCAGCATGGGGACAGCCCTTCTGAGACAGGTAGGCGTAGTCTCCAGGTCCTGCTTCACTCATCGCATAGTGATGCGTGCTTGACCCCAGCAGGCACTTGGGGTGGGGAGCGAGGTGGGTGCTGATGTTCCAGGGGTCGACGGTAGTTAGGGAGTCCTTTTGACGTCTAGCTTCAAATCACACAGGTCGCTGTTTGAGCCAGGTTCTTGGTCTTTTACCATTAATTAATGCCTACGCCACCCCGCAGGGGAGGTGTGACCCCATCTCACATGTTCTGAGTGCCACGCAGCTGGAAAGTGGCTCAGCTGGCGTTCCAACCCAGGCGACTGAGAGGGTAATGGGACGAACGCTGGAGCTGGGGGCGTGTGGCTTTACTAGCTTCTCATGGGGCTCCTTGGATGTCCCTTGGTCTCTCTGACTCATAAACCATGGAAGGTTAAATGCATAAGGGATCTAGTTAGCCTCCCTATTTTGTGGGTGAGGAAACTGAGGCACAGGAAGGAGCATCGGGCATGACAGCTGAGTGCATGTCTCCTGACACTGAGTCCAGCCTTCTTGCCACCATGCTGCAGAGCCTTTGATGCTAGAACTCTCTACTGTGACCTCCCTCACCATCCCCCCACCCCTTCTCAGGGCTGAAAGGGAATCTTCTGTCTCAGTGGGTCCGGGAGGCTGCCAGGCCTGGCTGCACCTGTCCCCTTGTCAATGACTGACAGGGCTGCGGAGAGAAGGGCCACTGGCCTGCCAGCTGGGATGTCCCTGGGCTGCTGGAGGATCAGTCTGCTCGGCCCCACCCAGCACTATGGAGGTCCTCCTGGGGACCCTCTGCCCAGGCCCCAGGAGAGCCTCGGCCTGCATTCATGCTTCCAGATTCAGCTCCACATCTCGAGTACTTCAAGGGTTCCTAAAGCATTTCCACACCCTTTACTTCAACTTTGTGTATACCTGCTTTTATTCCACTTAACCTTCCATAAAGCGTGTTCTTACATCTTTAAGAAATTATTTTGAATCATCCTTATTATGATGAGAAAAAGATATTTAAAAACCCTCCTTTTAATGAGGAAAACAAGCCCAATAGAGGTGGAGTATCACCAGGCCACTCAGCCAGGTGGATACAGGATGGGGCCGATATCCTTCCTTCTTCACACCTAACTCTGAGCGCTTTTCCCTGGAAGCATGGTGTCCTAGTGAGCAGCTTTTCTAGAGAAGCGGCTGTCCTGAGGAGAACCGGCCCACACGGCATCAGTAATGTTCTCCCAGTGGTGGTACCGTTGCTGAGTGCCTGGACGTTCCAGGGGCTGGGCTAAGCCCTTCCACGCACGATCACCTGTGAGGCTCACGGCAGCCCGGCCGGAGAGGTGTGACCTCATCTCACGTGTGCTGAGGGCCACCAGGCGGGGGAGTGGCAGAGCTGGCATTCAAACCCAGGCTGATCTGACTTTAGATTTTTGCTCTTCGGTGAAACAACTTTGAAAGTCCTCGGAACTGGACTGAAAATTATAGCAAGTGGGACTGGAAGGAGACAAAAGGCATTTCTAGTTAGGACGTGTGTGTGCTCCTGCCCCCTCCAGTGGACCCAGGCTTGAGCAATGACTGAGTGCCTTGGGCCAGAAAAGAAGTCCTAGAAGTGGTGTCTTCGGAGCTGTGAGGGATTGTTCGAGGCCCCAGGGCTGCCTGGGTATAGCTGAAGGGGGAGAGAAGAAAGGAGCCAGCAGCATAGTTTAATTTCACAAAGCAATGGCCACAAAATAGAGTTTGGAGGGAACATCTGTTCCTCCGTTTGATAGGCGACAAAACCCAGAGAGGCTGCATGACAAGCAGTGTTCAAGTTAAGGAGGGACCTTACGATAGAAGCTGCCCACGGTGGAAGGAGCTGCCTCAGGAGGTAGTGAGTTCCCTGTCGTCAGAGGTGTTGGGCCCAGGTGTTCATACTATGCAGAAGGATGGTACACAGGTGACACCTGCATGATATAGGAGCTTGGACCAGTGGCCTGGAGGGTCCCTTCTAACCTGCAGACTCGATGCTTCTTGGTCTGGTTTAGTTATTATTTATTGAATGCTTACTATGCACCTGGTACTGTTTAAGTACTTCTAGTACTTTCCGTGAACCATTTCATTCCATTCGTTAAGCATTTATGGTGTTTACTAAGTGCCAGATGCTATTCTAGGGGTTTGAGAAATATCAGTGAACAAAACAGGGTTGCCCTCGTGGAGTTTACATGCTAACTGGGAGGGACAAAGAACCATACGTGTATTGTATATAAAGTACGTTGATAGATAAAAACTGCTAGGAAAAAAAATAGACCAAGGTTAGACCAGGATAAGGGGGGGGGGGTGTTGGGAATACGGGCTGGGGGTAATGATGGTGGTGGTGCAGTTTTAAATCAGGGGGACAGGGTGACCGTTGAATTGAGAAGATGACACTTGAGCAAAGACTTCGAGGCGACGGGGTGAGCCACGCAGCAGATCGGGGCAAGAGTGTTCCAGGCAGAGGGAACAGCCAGGGCAAAGGCCCTGAGGCACAGAGGCCAAGCGTGCCTGCTGTGTTTGAGGAAGAACAGAGATGTCACTGTACAGGGGCACGTCACATAGCACGTGTAGGTCATTGTAAGGACTCTGAGTGAAATGGGGATACAAAGAAATATTTGTAGGGATCTTTCTGTAGGGTCCTATTTTTATGGGTCAGATATCTGTAGGGTCATTCCAGTGCCTGGGGTGGGAGCGGGTGGGGGGGAATGTTGCTTCTTTGAGAGTCCTTCCATCAGGCCCACACCCTGGCCAAGAGGGAGGACATAGGGTAGGCAGAGGAGGGAAAGTAGTCTTGGGCTGGATCACACACAAGCCCTGGGAAAAGGAGGAGCATGAATGGGCCGGGGTGCTCTTTATGCTGGAAGACACAGGCCTGAACATGCTAGGGCCAGTGCTGGATGTAGGACAGATGTGGCAGGAATGTGGCCCCCCTGAGGCTCTGGCTCAGGGGGGGCTATGTACCTGCAGAACCAGTCTTCAGTATGGCATCATGTGTCTGAAGAGGCTGAATTATGACCGAAAGGAGCTGGAGAGAAGACGGGAGGAAAGCCAGCATGAGATCAAGGGTAAGCTTAGCAGGCTCAGCGTGCTCCTCTGAAAGGCATGGGAGCAGCCTTGGGGGAGCAGATGCCTGCCTCCTGTCCCCTGCCCTGGGCGAGTGGTGGGGAGAAGAGGCATTCTGTACCTTAGGGAGCCTCCAAACCTGAGGGAAGCTCAGGTGAATGAGGGAGACCTAGTCCATGCCCAAAGGACGTTGTCATCTGGTGGAGAAGAAATAGCCCTGCCCGGTCACCCGTAACCCCACCCTACCCCCTGACAATGGCCACCGACTGGACACATGCAGTGAATCCCCTCGGACAGTGCTATGGACTGGCCTGGGAAAATGCTCATGGACTGTGTTGATCTGGGTGGCATTGGGCAGGAAAGAGAGACAAGTCTTAGATTCTAAGAGGACCATTCCAGCCTGGGGGTAGGGGATGGCCTGGCCAAGGGCTCTGGGGAGAAAGTCAGGAGCCTGCTGGCCTGACCCTTGAGTCCTACAGGCTGGCAGGGATGGAGGGAGGTGGTGCTGGTTCTCTAGGAGCCCAGGTGCCAGGGAGGACAGACAGAAGACAGAAAGCAGGGTAGACTGGAGCTCTGGGTCCAGGGAAGGTGGTTTCCGTCCCTGGAGGGGGTGTGGCCAAACCTACTGTCTCTTCCTAACCCGTTTTCTTGCCCCGCCCTCCAGATGTGCTGGTCTGGACCAACGACCAGGTGGTTCACTGGGTCCAGTCCATTGGGCTCCGGGATTATGCAGGAAATCTGCAGGAGAGCGGTGTGCATGGTGCCCTGCTGGCCCTGGATGAGAACTTTGACCACAACACGCTGGCCCTGGTCCTCCAGATTCCCACACAGAACACCCAGGTGGGCATCCTTGTCATCAGTCAGTCTTAATCTCAGGCTCCCCCTCCGCCGACTCTCCTGCTCACACACACAGGTTTACAGATTTGTTGAGGGACTGTTCTGGGGCCTGTCTCGGAGGGGATCACAACGTCCTCACACCTCCAAGTGGTCTCTGTGCATAACCGGGCCACCTAGGGAGCAAACTTCCTTCACATACAGGGCACATCTAGCCCAGGCCCAGAACACTGTGTTAATCCTCTCCCAACCCCATCTTTGCATTTGACACTTTGTTTTTTATTTAATTAATTAATTAATTAATCTGCCTGTTTACTTATTTATTTATTTTTCATATAATTTATCGTCAAGTTGGCGAACATACAGTGTATATACGGTATGCTCTTGGTTTTGGGGTTAGATTCCCGTTGATTCATCGCTCACGTACAACACCCAGTGACGCTTTGTTTTTCCTCACTCTGCTTTTCTGACCTGACTCTTCTTAGAGGAGAAAAGGCCTGGGGGCCGAAGGGATCAGAGAACCCCCCCCCCCATCTCCTTTGTCTCCTACCCCAGAGATCTGCCCTGGGCTCCCAGGCTTGAGAAAGCTAAATATACCAAATAACACAGCCCAGAGCCTCTCTGCACCAGGCCGTTGTCTCCCTGTCAACAGCTCAAATGATGAGACATCTCCTTAAATTACATTTCACAATTGTTATGGAGCTCTCATCCAAGACGATATCTAAACTCTCTTGGACCTATTTATATGTTTGGCCTTTCTAGCTTCCTGTGGATAAAGGACTCCAGAAGTACTACCTGTTGTGTTTAGTACTTCCTGATTTTATTTGTCCCAAATTGTGCCCCAGTCAGGCTCCCCCTGGGGAAGGGAACGGCCTCATCCTCATTTACTAGGTTTGGTGAGGCTATGTGTATTTGGCCCGTGCTCACCTTTTGTGATTTCATAAACTCTGATTGTGTTGCCTCGGGGCTCAGGCCTTTGTCTCTCCAGACGGAGTGATCTTAATTCTTTTAGGCTTTCCTCATATAGACTCGCCTCCGTGCCCTGATCGTTTTAGCTGCCCCTGTCTGGACTGGTTGCAGCTGTCAGGCCTCTTGAAATTCAGCCACTGGAGTCACACAAGCTATTCCGGGAGCAGATGCGTTTTGGCTCGTGCGAGGGTGGGGCTGTGTGGTCTCGTAATGCCGGGTGGCGTGTTGGCCTCTTGGGGATGTTGGCAGCACACAGGGCCAGTGTGTCCCATAGGCTCTCGGCAG